TCGAGCCTCTCCCGCCAGCCCTCTCCATCACCCGTCGCCGCCATGCCTTCTCCCACCGGCCCTCAGGTAAAATTTCAACCTTTTTTATTTTTAAATAGTTTTTAGCTTATTTCCTATTTTAGACCAAATTTTTACTTATTAACTGTTTTCTAAATTTACATAGTTGATTTTGTTCAATTTAGTTTAATTAATTAGTTTAATTAAGTTAGTTTTAGTTATTTTAGTTAATTTTAGTTTAATATTGCTCAATTTTAGTTAATTTTAGTTAATTTTTAGTTTAATTAATTAGTTAATTTTTGTTAATTTAGTTTAATTAATTAGTTAATTTTAGTTAATTGTAGTTAATTTTAGTTTAATATTGTTCAATTTTAGTTAATTTTAGTTTTATCTTAGACTCTTAGTTAATTGTAGTTAATCTTAGTTTAATCTTGTTCAATTTTAGTTAATTTTAGTTTAATTAATTAGTTAATTAGTTAATTTTAGTCAGTTTCGTTTAATTAATTAGTTAATTTTAGTTAATTGTAGTTATTTTTAGTTTAATATTGTTCAATTTTAGTTAATTTTAGTTTAATCTTAGTTAAATTAGTTAATTTGAATCTTTATTTGTCATGATTTGAGGATTTGATCTATGAATGGTTTATTTGTTGAATTGTTGTGATGTAGAATGTTGGCTACTCCTAAGGAATTTGCAGGTTCCATCTCTATTCCTGCGAAAGCCCCTTTGAAAGATAAAAGAACCTCGGAAGATATCGGTTGGGAGTTTAAGTTTCTTCCGGATCCAACTGATTTGTGCGTGGTGCAATGTAAATTGTGCTTGCACAAGATGAAAGGGGAGGTCTTTAGATTAAAGTAACATCTTGCCGACAGAGGAAACAGCTACCTAAAGTGCTCTAAGATTTCAGCATCTGATAGTAAGATTTCAGCTGCTGATAGGAAAAAGGTCCAAGAAGCTATGGATGCTAATTCAAGGAGGAAGAAATTGAAGGAGATGCATATAATGGAGTTGCAGGATGAAGCAAGCCGGATCCAACGGCTATTGAAGGAGAGGAAATTGCCTCCTCTAGACATACAACAGTGACAGACGGATCTTCAAAGAGGTCTAGAGAGCCGACCGTTAGGCCGATAAATGCTTATACTGCTAGTGATCCTGAGATAGCAAAGAGACTGAAGGGAAAGATGTTTTCAGCCTGGAGTGAAGGAAGCTTATAAAAAAGGAGAAGAGAGATTGCGTCCACAAGCATGTTGCTAGATGGGCATATGAGAATAGCATTCATTTTCATGCCCCCTACCGACTCCTTTATGCAGATGTGCAGCGCTATTGGAGATTATGGACGTACTTACCGATTGCCTAACACGTATATGTTGAGGGAGCCGTTGTTGAGCGGTGATGTGAATGAGACTAGGGACTCATTGAGGAGCATGATGAGTGGGGGGAAGAGTGGTTGTTTTATCATGACGGATGCTTGGTCGGATAAGACGATGCAGTCGATCATGAACCTGTGCATCCATAGTAGGTTCGACACGACTTTCTACAAGTCAATTAAGTGCTCCGGAGACTCGCACACCGAGGAATATATTTTTGAGTGGGTAGATGCATTGCATTGAGGAGATTAGACCACCGAAGATTATCCAGGTTGTCACAGATAATGCTTCTGCAAATATGACGACGAAAGAAAAATTGAAGGAGAAAAGGCCAAGTATCTTTTGGACTAGTTGTGCAGCTCATACGACCTGATGTTTGAGGACATTGGGAAGTTGCCAACCTTCAAAACAACTATTGAAAAAACGAAGGCCCCTACCGTCTTCATCTACAGCCACCACAAGATCTTGAACATGATACCCCACATGTGTAAGATGATGGATATTGTGAAACCCGGAGTCACTTGCTTCGCCACTGCATTCTTGGCCCTTCGAAGTGTTCATAAGAAGCTGAAGCTAAGACTCATGTTTTCTGATAAAGAATGGAGGAAAAGCAAGCATTCTAAGACCGCAAGGTGTAGAAAAATGGAGGTCATTATCCTGTGCAAGAGTTAGTGGCAATCTGTAAACAAGCTATTGAAGATCTATGCTCCCATTTTTCGCATGTTGAGGGTGGTCAATAGCAATTATAGACCCTCAATAGGATTTGTCGATGGGATGCTTGAAGACACAAAGGAGGAGATCAAGTTTGTTTTGAAGAAACAAGAGAGCCTATGCACATCGGTGAATGAAATTATATGTTCCAAGTCTGAGGATCAATTATATATACCCTTGCATATGGCAGCTTATGTCCTTAACTCTTACTACTTCTTTTGAGATGATGTTGCTAAGAACTCTAGGGAATGGAAGGACGGGTTTCTGGATGTGGTGAAGCTGCTCTATCCCGATGAGGAACACCAAGCTGAGGTTACTATGGAGTTCATGGAGAAGTACAGAGTGGGTAATAGCTCATTTGGTAGAAGTTTGGTGGTAAAATCTAGGCAGAAAGTGGACTTCAACCCTGGTAAATTTAGTTTATAAATTGAATATATCAAATTATCAACTGAAACAATGTGTTTGCAGCTAGTTGGTGGTATATGTATGACGGTGATTTGTCCCTTTCTGCAAAACTTGGCGATGAGAGTTTTTAATCTCACTAGCAGTTCTTCCGGATGCGAGAGGAACTGGAGCACATTTGAGGGAGTAAATTACATAAATATCTAAAATTAATAAGATGAAGTTATCCATTTATGACTTTACTAATTTATTCTTTTCTTCTTTAAAGATTCACAAGAAGAAGAGACCGATTGGAGTCGAAGAGGTTGGAGGATCTTGTGTTTGTGAAGTTCAATGCCAAGCTCAAGCAAAAGAAGAGGAGAGTAGAAGACAAAGACGTGCTAACAATGCAGGATCGTACTACAGCACGTGCATGGATCCTAGAAGGAGTCCCCTCCGATGACGAGGAAGAGACTAATCTCGGTTCGGGTGTTAGTTGGACGTTGGTGGAGAATGTATCTCGAGCAGCTAAGGTTGCGACGAACCGGAAGAGTGAAAGAATAGCATAAGCTGTAGGATCTTCGATGATTACTAGCAAAGAAGAGTCTCTTGCCTCCGAAATAATGTCACGGACTAGGATGAGGACTTCGTGGACATGAACTCGGAGGAAAGCAATCATGCGGGGAAGGATTTCCATGATGACGATGATTGACGATGATTTCATTAGGTTATATAATTATCCCATTATCCCGTGCTAGATATTTAGACTATTCATGTTTTTTTTTCCTTCATGAGCATTAGAATTTTGAGTTTGCGATATTATTTACTATTACAATGACTTGTTATGTTGGGCATAATGATATTTCTTAGTATTTGGTTACTAAAATGGCTATTTAGTATTTATGTAAGGTTGATTATGGATCTAAGCTTGTTATTTATTTTTTTGTGATTTTATATGAACTTAATACATATTTTTGTGAATTATTATAATTAAATAAATTAAAAAATAGGCAAACGCGGCCTAGGTGCCTAGGCGCTAGGCCCCGGCTTGAACGCCTAGTCCGTCTAGCGCCTTCTGTAACACTGGTTGTATGGAAAATGACTTGAATTCTTAAATTCGTAAGAACTGTTCTTGCATCTTTAGTGCAAACAAATTAGAAATTATTCTGAACCTTCTCACATGTCTACTAACATGTGGTTAACTAGCATGCTTAATTGAATTGGCTCACATACTCAGAGCAGGTTACTTTGATACTATTAAACCATTTGCAAAGGATCTATTATAATCAGCTTTCCTTTGGAGATGTTAAAAAATTGGACATCTGGCTCACTTTTGTCTCGGACAATATTACAGCAGGCCATACGCACAGAAAGAGAAAACTGTTAAATTTCATCTTTACCAAGACAATAGCATAGGTGTAGTATAGCCCTCAGCTATAAGAGAACCACGATAAGTAGCTTAGGCAGAATGTCAGGCTCTTCAAAAGAGGAGAACATATTATGTTCCAAAACTAATATTTTTAAACAAAAATAATCTGAAAATATCAATCTCTCCCAAATATTAGGAGATCAATAAAAGATTATATATCTACGAGCAGTTTTTAGACTCACAAAGAGGGCAAGGAGCTGTATTTTGGGATTTTTACTCCCTAAGCGCTTCTTAAGAACCTTAAGGGCATCCTTTGCTTGCCTGCATTTCATCAGAAAAGATAATTAAAACAGGTTCATACAATAAACTACTCATCAAATAATGCTTCAGCTGGAATGCAGGGGGACACTTCAAACAAACAGGCATAATTTAAACTATTTCAAAATTCAACTAAATAAAATAAAATGCCTCTCTAGTGTAAAGCAAAATCGAAGAGCCAAAGCAGGCACAAACCGTAAATAAAATCACTATGTTCATTTACTAGCATTACATAGAGGCCATGATGCATGAATGACTTGGAAATGCTCCATCCATTACAACGCACCTATACTCTATTGCTGAGAGACTAGGTTTTGAAAATAAAAGAACGAAAACAATTCATAAGCTAGAACTAAGTTAGTGGTCGTTTGGCGGCTTGTGACTGTAGTTGCAATGCAACCGTCACTTGCATGCATCTGAGATTGTTGCAGCTGCTATTACATGCAATGACACTTGCAACTGTGATTGCAGCTTAAAACCCATTATGTATTGTCTTGAGTTGCAATTATGACTTGTACCAAGATCTGGCATATGTCACACAACGACCAGGAAGGGTTTTTGCAATCGCAATTGCAACTACAACTAGTAGCTGCAAAGAAAACGAACACTTGCAACTTGACGAAAATGACCATTTGCATGTCACTGTAGTTTCAACCAGTCCAATTGCAAGCGACCAAACGGGCAGGTAAGGCATATTAGAGATTAAGATGGCCCCAAAAAAATAAAAATGACCAAGTATAAATACTTTGCTTCCTAAGTGGTTAAAGAAATAGATGATTTCAAGACAAACATTTCGAGAGAAAGCTCCAAAATATCAGTTATCCGGTTCCAATTTTTGCTACCAAGTCCTCTTCAGCACCAGGTAAGAATCCTATCATCAGCTAGCAATAAAGATCTAAACTTTAATCTTCACAAGAATCAACCTTTTTCACCCAATTCAACCACACAATTTGAGATCTCAGACTAAAACCCCAGAAACCCTAAATCGTACCCTGGGTCCATGTTGATAAGGTCACAAAGCTCAATATTTGCAGCCCAATCGGGGCCCATCAACGCATCACTCGTCGCCCTCTCTGCACACGCAGCAGCTCCGCCATTAGCCATCTGCAAAAAATCAAAGAAGAAACAGAAAAAAATAAAAATAAAAATAAAAATCATTAGATCGCAAAAAAGCAAATGAAAGAGGGGAAATCTGAACACGAATCGGAACTTACGTCTCTAGATAGAAGAGAGACAAGTAACAATTTTGTAAGATTTTGATCGGACGTGAGAGAGCGAGTCGACAAGATCAGGTTTTAGAGAGTTTTTCGAGAGAGAGAGAGAGAGAGAGAAGAAGAAGAATTTTATTTCTAGTTTTTTTTTCTCGTTTTGGTCCAAAGTTGGTGGGTCGGAGAGAGAAAGTGACTCAGACGGAAACGGGTCGGCTCAGCTAAAGTCTGAATCAATGAAAAAGAATTAGACACATTCCAATATTGTTTCTAACTATTATTCTGTTGCAGACGATACGTGTGCATGGTAACAAATATAGTAAATATTATAGTTAAATCGTTAAGAAAATAGATGTTTTAATTGCATTTTTCATTTTTTTGGATTTTTTTCCAAAATTTAGGACATTTATGTGATTTTTCTAAGTGTGAGAGCATTATTCCTTTTAATTTTTATGAGTGTAAAGAGCGTTTTCTCTTTTCTTTATTTTTAAGCATCGATCTACAATTGATCTTCTAATGTGTGAGAGCATTTCTGGAATTCTAAAAATACGGCTCACAAAGAGTAAGAATGGGGCTTTTCTTAATATAGTATAGATCTTATCGGTAAAATTGTAGATAACATACTTGTGTATTAGTACAAGTCCTATTTGAACATTTGGCATGCGAGTAAAATGTTTTGAGCTATTCATAGGGAAATAGAGGAACACCCTAAGACTTCATTGCCTTACATGATTCTAATATATATTCTTGTCTATACGATTAGTAAAAGATATTATCCTCTATTTTTTTTTAATTCTTCTTCACCATCCGAATTGAATGCTAATAAACTAGTTAAGGGGTGATACGGTTGAACAATTATATGCTATTTGCATTAACTTTTTAGTGTTAGTACACAATTAACACACATAATAATTAAATATCAGTGTAAAGTGTAAACAAAATATTTATATCAATATAAGTAATTCAAAATTTAATGCAAAGCTCTTGAAAATTGATATCGTGATACATGTAAAGCTTCTATTTCCTTGATTTTTGCTGGAAGGTGCCTACGTCAATTTTTTTCTTCTTTTTCCTGATTCAAAGTGGGCAATTGGAAAACTGGCTAATACGTGTTGACTTTCTTCTTCTTCGTTCGTTTGGTCGCCGGAGGTTGTATCATTCTTTGAACGTGTTAGCCTTGATGTTGACCCCCAACCAATAATTTAATTTTCTTATCTTTTGAATTGAAAAATCTGTAGACTTACATTATCTCATGTTTATATTATCATCATAACCGCTTATTACGTCAGTGTGACCATAGAAATAAGTTTGATTCTAATTAATATATGCCAACCAGATAATTAATCCTCTCTCCATATATTAGATTCATTGCTTACTTAGTTTCGTTCGTTTGTCATGTCGTATGCAGATGATGGTTGAGAGTAAATTAAAAATCTACAAGAGTTTTTGTTTCCTATGTACGTACGACGGCAAATGATCAAATTAACTACAACTTCATTAAATGTGAATTGCTTCCCTTGAAATTTTCTTCAGCTGACTCATCATCAACACCCTGAAGATTGAAGATATAGTTGTGTTAAAGTCTCTGCCACTGCACAAAACTCCTAAGTGTTTTTTGTTAAAAAAATTCCGAAATCGTGATGAGGGTCGAGAGTTGTAATTTTATATTATAACACGTTGGGTATCGCAAAGGATGCAGCCACTTGACTTTACCTTCACAGAACCCTTGAGCCCTTGGATACCCTGACTTTCGAAGCTACTTTTTCTGATATCCCTGCCTCAATTTACTGGTATCAAGTTTATGTCCATTCAACTTGTGAAAACTATGCGTCATGCCTTTAGACTATGCAAAAAATGCATCAAGGCCAAAGGTAGAGGTTGCAGTTATTGCAACTCAATATATCTTTCCACATAAATCAAGGACAAGAACTAAAATGTGCACGTGCATGTTTTTTTCCCCAAAAGGGTCTACATATGTGCAATTTTTCCAAGTGGTTAATTCCTAGTGCTCTCGTAAAGTTTACGTAAAAGTATTAGTAAAGATTATGTTCTGATCACAGAAAACAGGTTTCCCTGTCTCAGTTGACAGTACTGTTTATTGTAGAACATAGCTCTGAGATTTACTAAATGATACTTGTTTATTTGATCCTAGATTAAGGGACCTTATATTTAAGTAGAGTTATTTAGCATTAAGTAATTTCATTATCATATAATCAGCATCTTCAGGACTTAAGCCTACTAGCTTCTCTGACCGAGAAAACCATTACCCCTTTAAGTTTCTTCGATTGAAGATTCACTGCGTTTACAGTTTGCCTCAGTTTACTTTGCTCTAGCTACAGCTTCACGATGTAATGAATTCAGTTCCTGTAATTCAAGAATTTGAGTACAGGACATTTCAGACACTTCCTGCAAATGTACTAAATTTAGTACATTTCAGACATTTCAGACTCGCTTGAAAATCTTTGCATTTGTAAATGGCGAAAGGTTGTTCATTTTATGTATTTCAATTTAAATAAATACTACCGAATAAACACTTGTTAATGAATCCCTGATCATAACAAGAACCATACACACTATTCTTCATTATGTTTGGCAGCTCCCTGTAGATTTACTTTCCCGTTTGTCGAAGACAAAATAACAACCCCTCATTTTCCTGCAAAATCGACAAAATATGTTTAGTATTCAACAAATGACATTAAGTTAATGCTTACTTTTGTTGATTTCGTTATAACCTGCAGTGTATATCTGATTCATACTCTTGACAATGGGGAAATTTTTGTAGTAGCGTTAAGTTTATCCTTCATTCGTCTCCTTTTTATTTCAGAATCTTGATTGATAACTGATAAACAACTGTTTCCTTTTTGTTTTGTTAATTTCTTTTTAATGAAATACAGAGAAGTTATGCTTCACAATTTATCTGGGAGGGGGAAAAAAAGATGTTCTCCTTTTGAAGTTGTAAGCAAGTTTTACTTATTTCTATAAATCATCTTATGAGCTTTTCGACCATCTTATTATTTTTTAATATCAACAATCTCATTATTACGTACATAATACTGTGATTTCTCTAAGAAATAAATCAAGTACCTAAATGAATATAAACTGTCAATTTTCAATAGGAAATAAGATTTTTCTAAATTGCTCATACCGGGGTGGATCAAATTCTCTATTTCATATCACATGAAAAAAATTTATCAAAATACTCCAAAAAATAAAAGACAACTTAAGTTACCTGCTTCTGCTTCTTCTTCTTCCACTGCCATTGCTTGATCTACTGCTTCCCCTACTCTCTGCACTCTTCTCGGATTCGCTCTTCTCCGGCAAAACCTTTGAACAAGTTCCCGAGCTTCCATTGCTCTTCTTACGCTTCAAAATTGTAGGAATTCTAGGCATAAACATCTTCAACATGAACCCTCTATTCTCCCTGTTCTTTTCTTTCTTCTTCTTTTCTTTCTTTCTTTTACATTCATTTTTGCCTTCTTCCAATTTATCCTCCTCTGGACTCTCTTGCAGTAATTCTGCAATCCTCGCAGACTCGGATACATCCTCCTCTGCGGTCTCCTTCAGTGGTTCAGTAATCCTCGTTGACTCGACCATATCTCTTAAAGAGAGTTCATAGTTTGTTTCGGGCATGGCTCGGATTAAATCGAGCATCTCTTGCCGATACATGGCAATTGCCTGAGCTCGACCGTCGTTGAATTTGTCGTCGGTGGAAGTATTTTCTTTGTAGATTGGATTGGTGAAGGTGAAGGTGTTGCCAAGTTCTGGCTGTTGGTGATGAAGCATTGTGGATGTAATGCGTGCAGGGTTGTGGAGGAGGAGAAAACTCAGAAAAGGTTTGATTGTGTTTATTGTATGCAGTTTGTGATCGTTTTATACAGGACTGATTGCTAAGATCCATCTGCTGCAGTATCATGTGGGTGTAGTTATTTATTGGGTGAATTACACAAACACCCCCCGCCCCTTGACTCTCTTAATAGGTAGAAAAACCCCTTAATTTCGAGGGCTTTCTTTTATAAATCCTCTGAACTTGTTCCATTCCACTAAATCCATTGAAGATTGTTCACTTTAAGCCCCTAAATTAACTCTCTCCATTCTGACTTGTCATGTTCCAAGCACATAACGGAAAAAGGCAAATATGACCTGATAAGAACAATAATAGAAATGATAAAAAAGAGTAAAGTGGTAAAAAAAAATTAGTGTTGAGTGGTATTTTCTTCTTTTCTAATCACATACGCTAGACTTCCAAAGTTTAGTGGAAAAGGAAAAATTCATGGGGTCATATCCCTCAAAGTTAAGGGGAGGCTTTGTACCAATTAACATAATTAAGAGGGGTTATCCTGAGAAACAGCCAAATTTAAGGGGGGGGTTTTGTGAAATATACCCTAACTATTTCTCTAACTATTTTATTAGTATTTACCTTCATAAGTTCTAGGGAACATTATTTTTGTTGGGGATTCGAAACAATCAATCGAGCCCTTGCCCTTCCGGACCTTGTGTTGAAAGTAGGAAAGTAGGAATAATACCACAAATAAAGATCTAACCTTGCAAAAATAGTAAAGGAGACGAACACACAGATTTAACGAGGTTTGGCAACGTGCCTACGTCCTTGGGAGCCACATCACACAATCTCTTTATTAATTGAAGAAGAAAATACAAGCTCTCAAACAAGGGATTAATCTCTCTGAGATTCTCTCTCACTTTTCAGTCAAAAAGCTCTCTTTTGATATCTTTTTAAACCCTAAAACGTTTGGGGTATATATATAGAATCCTGGGTGAAACAGATTCCTAAACAAACCAGAAAACTGCCAAATTTACTCGCGGTCGACCGCCATGGTCGACCGCCGGTCTCGCAGTCGACCGCCACGGTCGACCGTCTGCAAAACCCGAGACCAATTTGATTACAGAGTTTTGACGGTCGACTGCCACGGTCGACTGCGACTGATTCCCGAGACCAAAATACCTACAGGGTTGGTGCGGTCGACCGCCATCAGCTTCAGCTTCTTCCCATCTCCTGTGCACGTTCGCGGTGGACCGCCGCGGTCGACCGTGGATCTGTCTGCTTGTTTTTCTGTCCTTTTGATTCCAGCCGTTATCCGGACTTTGGGTCTACACCATAGACTAACAATTTTCCATTGTGGGCTGAGATGTCAAATCTTGGGATGTCAATTTAACCGAAACAGACTAAATTTTCCTTTACAAATTGACTGCAAAATAAGACAATATGAGGTTTTTCTCTCAAAAAAAAAAAAAGACAATATGAGGTTCATACCATATAAGTGCTAGTAAAAAAATTTAGAATATCTAATTGGATGTGTCACCCTTTCTGTTACAAGAATAACAGTGGATATGAGATCATATAATTAGAAGTGTAACCGAAATATTAAAGTCTTTCTCTTAATCCTTGCGGATGTAGAAGTCACTAGTTTCTAGAAGAATGCAGAAGTCAGGGATGAGGATGAGCTTGTTTCATTGTCTGTTTGTTTTAATATCTGTAATCTTCTCATTTTGTTTGGTTTCTTTTATACAGGAGAAGGACATGTGCATCAGCCCCACGTGTTGATGGCCGTGTTTAATATAAAATTTTGTTAATGTTGGATTTTTCTTTTTTGGAATATATCAGTTTTCTTTGGGAATAATATGATAAAGATTTGGTTATGATTTCATAAAGATATTTATATTGTTCCCTCGTGTTCACAATGTTTGGATATTAAAGAACAATTCCTCAATCATAATTTATCACATAATATGCAGACAGTTGTTGTTCATTCGTGATATATTCAACATTTTATCTTATGACTTGTACTTGTTCTTATTATTATTATTTTTTAATCAAGACATAATTAAATGATAGATGAACTGCACTTGTTTTTTTAATGTATAGACGTAATGAAGAGGATATAAATGTATATTCACACTCACACACTAATATCTTTTTTAATTTCTTCTAGAAGGAGATTATCTGTTAAAGAGGAATCTTGAGCGTGACTTGAGCGTGTTGGTTTGTTGAGGTCATTAGGACTTGTCATGTATGAACAAGATTGTACATGGGTTGCCAACTAATTATTAAATGTCGGTAGTGTACGAATCTTACGGAGCACATATTTAAAAAGCATATTACTATGCGATTATATTGCAATGAGAAGAATGGTTAACTTACAGCGAGCATGTTACGGTATAAAACTATAATTTCACAATCCTTCGTGCTCAACTTTGTAGTTTTGAAGCTGTGGAAGGAACTTCGAACCTGTGAGTTTTATTAGTTTGCTTACCGTTTTCACAATTTTCATTCTACAAGAACTTTGTTATTCTATGATTTATATGTATTGTTATATACTGTCACTTTATAATAACAACAAAGCTTAATTTTCTATAATCATTTATTCTTGACATTAATGGTAGCAGAATAAATGTTTATGCCTTTCCACATTTGAATATCTTGACAAGCATAGCTGTGAGAAAAGGAAAAAAAGGAATGGTAAGTTATATAACATGCATGTGTTATGAAAACAGATACCGCAAGTCAATTGTATATTGCAAGGCATCTCTATTAGGATTTGTTTATGGTGAATGTGGATCCACTGTAGATCACATACTGTTTTGTTAATTGATTGCCAATATTTGAAGAATCTTCGGACCAAAAGATATTTGGAAAAAATAACAACTGTGTTGATGACCGCAAGCAAAAGACAAAACATCATCAACTAATCACTGAATTGAAAAATATATGAATACATATGCTTCATATCAAAGACTTCATACGTGCAGGACTAAGTAAACCAAGATCTCTACATAATCTTTTCAGTTCGTCTTCAAAACAATTCTCTTTGCTTCACACTGTCATGCTTAACATATACAATGGATATAGCTACTCAAACAGCAACCATGTAAACTTTAGAGGGAATGAATGCTCTTGGCCTTTTGAATTGCTTGATTCACTTTAGACAAAGGCTCTTCATACAAGAAGGCAGGATTATCAAATTTAGGAGCCAAGCTCGCCTCTCCGAGAAATGCACGGAAAGTATCAGCCACAGAATTGGAGAGAGATTGGAGATTGTATCCTCCTTCCAAGAAAAAAACACAGCGTCCCCCACATAATTCGTTTGCAAGTTGCTTGATATTTGAAGAGAGCATGTAATAGGTACTGGTTGTGAATTGTAGGCCAGCCAATGGGTCTAGCACATGAGCATCGTAGCTGAAATTGCAACGTTCAAAAGGAACCTATTTATATTTAGTTTCATCATGGAAAATGATATGAAAACAAAATGGGTAAATTTCACAAAGCTATTGTGAACTTTTAGGGGCATTGCAAACTATCGTAAACATTTCTTGTACCATATAAAACTACCATGAACCATTTTCCACCAAACTACCATACCTTACGGCAATTGGAGTACAATATTTTAGATAAGCTGGCTTTTATGTACTTTATGTCCTCTCTCCTCTCACTCTTCACAGATATTAATAAAGATAGTCTAGATCTTTTAGACCTTGATGCGGTTAGCAACAATTTCCAATAGTTCGTTCTATTTATCTGCAGTTCTGCAAGGTCATTGTAGTTTTTATATCTAATAAAAAAATAATAACAGTTTTGTGCAATACCCCCACCAAACTTCAAATAGCAGTCTTTTTAAGTTTTAAGAGTAAGCAAAGCCATCTTTTAGGCGCTGATTTCATTATTTTTATTTATATACACACTGAACGGTATATATGAATCTAAAAGGGCAGGAGCATGATAAAGTATTAGTAGATTTCACCTACACAATGCAAGAGAACTGCCAAGGATCATGATAAGTCTGACTAGAACTGAAGTACAACATCCACCATCATTTTTTTCCTTTTTCTGAATCAATACTGCCAAAGATTTGGAAGAGATGAGTAAGAAAAATACATGTTAAGATTATAAAGCACAATTAAGAAGTATCAACTCACCCGGCTGATACTAGGATGATATCAGGCTTAAACCTCTGGGCACATGGCACAACGATCTCATCAAATACAGATCTCATAGCAGTATCACCCGAGCCTCCAGGTAGAGGAAGATTCAGTGTAGTTCCCTCTCCACTTCCCACACCAATTTGTTCGACCTTACCTGTACCAGGATAGCTTCCAGCCTACAAATACCAAGCTCAAAAGGAAGATATTTTGTCAGTTCTTTTGAACTTAAGGTGTTACTTGAAATGTCAAATTGAAAACAAAATTACGCAGTCTTCGGGTTCAAGCTAAATTCATAAGTTGCATACTATTCGTGGTTACTCAAGTATGTACCTGAATTGCACAAATAATACAATGATCTTCCCCTTGGACTTATATGACTTAAAACATACTCTACATTTATTTTGAAATAGGCAACCTTTAAGGGCACTATAATAATCTTAAAGGGTTTTTTAAGATACCAGTCCTTCAATCATCAGTGTTTTCAAATAGGTTCCACAAATGTTGATATTTTGAAATAAGTCCCTCAAGACCTTTAAGTTACACCAAATATACCCATATTAGCGTTTTGTATTAAAGTTATTCTCAAGGTATGTGCATTTTAAGTAATTTTGAGGTAATACATTGGCATGTAAAATCAAGATCAGAATTAAATAGGCTTTGGGTTAAAGTTAAATTCACAGGTAGCATATTTTTCTGTGAAAATTGTGTAAACCACTTAGTATGTATTTGAAATGTGCATATCATGCAAAGATAAACCTCCACATATACATTCAAATATAAACGTAAAACTTAAATGGGATTGAAGCTTAAACTCAGATAGTCATATGTTCACAACTATAACACCAGAAAGATCAAATAAATTATTTGGGATAGGCAGTTGACCTAAGGAGCAAGAACTTGGCTACTACCATTACAACGAATAAATGAAATCTAATCAAATACAAATTCAATGCCACAGCCAACTTGAACTGTGCACAAACTGAAATTTCATTTTCATTTTCATTTTCCTCTTACTCTTGTAAGAGAAAAACAAATTAGTTTCTCATCACAATATATATGTTTCTAACTGTTTAACAAATACATATTTAACTAGAAGAGCTTTTACCTGATGAGTTGATATGAAGAAAATATCTGGATCATCATAAAACGCATCACATGTACCATTCCCATGATGAACATCAAAATCAATTATAAGAACCCGCTTCAATCCATGTACACGTTGAGCATGCCGAGCTGCAATAGCTATGTTTCCAAAAACACAAAAGCCCATAGGACCTTTTGGGACAGCATGATGACCTGGTGGTCTTATCAATGCAAACCCTACAGGAGGATCCATCCGAATCCTTGATGCTTCAACCTAAAACAAATAAATATCGATTTTAACACTGAACTTATATATGGTCATTTAGAAAGCTACTTTTGTAATAGTCTTAGATTACTCCATACCACAGAATCAACCAAGGAAATCCCTGCACCAGCTGCAACTAAGGATTCTTGAAAAGTCTGCACCAACAGAAACATTATACATAACTGACGGTGGAATACGCAAACATCATATTTTTCTTTGACTTTGTGAGCATTTGATGTATTCTTGTAAGGTACATCAACACAATATCTCTGATCATTTAAGTTTATTACTACGAAAAAATCAAATATAAAAATGAGGGAGAAGCTTAAGAGTGGTGAATACAGTTTCAGTTGCATACGTTGGACCAGACCCATCAATGAAAATAATACCTTCATCAGAAGCCCTAGTCATAGCCTGCAGAAATACAAGAGCAAAACAAGCATCAGGAAACATGAATCATTAACCCAATAAGTCCCTCACTTAGCTACTCTTATGAAACCCACAACTTCTATCACAGAGAAAGGATTGAAGAAGACATGGATTGTGAAAGCACTGGATAACAATTCCAACTGAGATTATTGCATTTCTGACAGTTGTAAGGATGTATATATAGTCAATAAATTAAGAGAAAGAAAGGTACAACAATTACCTTCTCTAGCCCAGCTACATAGGCCCTTTCATGGACAATTGCAATATCATCAACAGTAGCAGGTTGGAAATTCTGAATTTCAAAGACCTCAGGACCACGGGACTGAAATGAAGAATCTGTTAACAATTTTGAAAGAGATGAAGTAACCTCAACTCAAAAAAAACTTACTACCAAGGTATTGGAACTTAAACCTAGAACCAGCACACAAGGAACAAGGAGGTCAATCTAAATTAATTATTCTGTATAAGGTTATGATGCTAATGAACACTTGCAGTTGTTTCCTTTTCGTTTAGTTACTTCATCTTTAGAGTAGTATACAAAAAATTTATGACCAACTAAATAATAACTGCATCATGATTTCCTGGTATGAAGCTCATAAATAAAAACAAAATCCCCACCTTTTCTTAAGCAACTCGGATCTCCTAAAAAGAACCAAAATAAACTTAAATATTTAATTACTAAAACAATCAAAGGACAGTGATAAAGCTGTTAAAGTTTTCATTTAATATGTAACTGAGCATTGCAAGAAAACTATAGATACACGATGTGATGCATCAAGAATGAATTATAGTTATGGAAACGAACAGTCGAACACTCTAAGATGATTTTTTTAAACAATGTTTAACAAGTTTATTGACATGTCAGATTAAGAAAGTATGAACAAAAGAACAATAGGTATAAAAAAATGGTTTTGTTACACACCTTTGACGTGAGTTCCAACCTCTCAAGAGCATCAACAATTGCAGGCACCCTTAAATTAGATTCAGGGTGCGCTTCCTGGATTCAGAAGAAGATAACTGGAAAAGTTATTTCAGCAGTTAAATAACGTTATGCAGAAATTAAATAATTTTAAGGCTAAATTTAAGAAGGCACCATTAATTTTAAAGTTTTTTAAGAAAAATACCATAAACATGAAGGAATCGATCAATCAATCAAATCGCATAAACATGGTGCAGGCTCTCAATTTGGTCAATTAGGGTGCATTGACATCAAATGAAATATAAAAGAATTGATCAACCAATTAAATGATGACCAAGAAGAGAAAACTAAAATAAATACAAATTTGTCAAGCCTATTAATTTTCTTCCGCAACGATAGAAGCATGTTACTTTTTACTATTGACACGATGGTTGAATAAGAATTAATAAGTAATCCCTGTCAAATAGCACCAAGAAGGCTGATACGCACTATGCAAGTTTTACAATGCTGAACAAGAAGTCAAGATGAATGTAGAAAAGCGAGCGAGTAAAATGGCATACCTTATTGTGGCCAGTGGCAGGAGCAACAGAATAGAGTACGCGTGCATCTTGTAATGGGATATTAGAAGATACATGTGAATCTTTTCTTATATAACCAGAATTTGAAATGGAGGCCCCACCATCACTTTGAGAGTATCTGATATTACACGTGATATGTTTGTAGAATCTTCTTTGTGTATAGGTCATTTTCTTTGAATACAACTCACATAAATTCTTTAGCTTGTATACTTGTGTGGTAGATGAGAACAAATGACCTACACCATACATAATTAGCAAATTCCTTTAAGATAATAGAATATGCATTTAGAAAGTTATTCTCTTTACATTAAAAATTGATCAGCAAGCAAAAACTAGCAAATGGAGATTGCGAGCTCAAATTGTGAAGTGTAGATTCAGCTGTTTGTATCTGGCTTGCTCATTCATTTTCTTTGAGAAGCATAACTGGACATCAATTGCTTAAAGCTAAATTTGAACCTTCAACTTTTCAATTGATGTAATCTCAGTTGTTATTCAAGAGGGAGGGGATCACAATATTTTTTGGTCTCTGCTTGAAATTTGGAAAGTATTGAGATTAAATAATTAACCTGTAAGATAGTACTTCTAACACATTTCATGGACAAAATACCCGTGCTCTGATATTAGTTTGTGACGAAAATCTTTAAAATAGATAGTCATTAATCACAGACCAAAATAACTCTAACCAAATACCTTATCCCTATATTCTTGGCTCCCAATGACACATTAAGCGCACATTGTTCCACACTATTTCCAACATGAGACTCAAATCTCTATACCATCCACCTCTGACTTGAATGCTATAATGGTATACAAGACAAATCCAACAATTTATTGTCCGTATGTGCCCGTGTTTCTTTGGTTGTTAGTATGGCTATAGGGATCATCAACACCTAGCGATATTGTTTTGGTGAAAACATCACATTCTTTGGTATTAGTCACAGGATTTGGGAATTGGTAAACTTATGATTCTTCACTTGGAAAGAACCATCACCTTGGTCTCGTTACCATTATGCTGGTTCCATTGGCTACATATACAG